TTAATTAATTTATAAATTTATTTAATTTGATTTTAATATTTTTATTTTTTTAAATTAAAATTAAAAACCTCAAAATTACATTTATATTAAATGAAGCTAGTAGATTATCCATAACTCGATTGAAAAAGGAATTTTAAAAAGAAAAGAGAAGAAACGAAAGAATAAAAAAAAGTTAAGCAAATGCAGTGCGATCATTTCAGAGCGACCTTCTCGGGAAGCCGGAGGCCAATCTGAAAGGTGAAATCCCCCCGAGAGAGGAGAGAGAGCGCGATAACGATGGCGATGCTAGAGAGCATTGTCGTTTTCGCCCTGCTTTTGTTGTTCCTCTTCCTCCTCATCGTCCTCCTAGCCTGTAAACCGTGGCGTTTTTTCTCCTCCTCTCGCTCCCGCGGCATCAAGGTAACCTCCATTTCTTTGCTTCTCCGATTGTCGCCTCGGGATTCTCGTTTCCGTTTTCTCTGTTCCGAGATGTCGATTTTGAACGGGGAAAGCTCCTGCTATTGTCGTTCGTGGCCGGTGATTTGACAACGAGCTGGCTGCTTAGCTCGTTGTCAGATCGTGTCAGAAATCTCTGGACCAGCTTTGATTTAGGTTTGATTGTGATCTTTAAATGTAAAATCGCCTTTGAATAAAAATTGTGCTGCAGAGTTTGAGATTTATTTGTTAGTCCACTTTCTAATGATGGTTGGGGGTTGTTGACTCTCTCCTTTTTTTTTTTTATAAAAAAAACTTAATTCTGAGCTTGATACATAGTGCAACTTGTATAGTTTTATCTGGACCGGCTTGATTCTGCGGGGTTTTTTTTTTTAATGTTAACTTCGAGAGTGATACACAGTGCAACTTGTATAGTTTATGATTTGTGACTGATACATAGTGCAACGTGTATAGTTTTATCTGGACCGGCTTGATCCCATCTGGACTATCACAAAGTAGAAACTGGGCATCATTTGCTCTTTGGGTTTCATCATAGAAAATCAATTGCATTAGAAAGTGCATTACTTGTAAAAATGTTGAAATGAAGTTTTCTCATTGCTCAGCGTTTTGTTTGGTAGATGAATGATTCGATCAAACACTGATGGCATGCATTCAGTGAGATAGTGATATCCATCCCAAGTGCATTAAACGTTGGTTGATGATTTGGTGCATTTCATATTGCTATTGAATTTGTGCAGTCTATGGAGCAGCTTCACCTTTGCATTAGAACCTGATTGGTTCCCATAAAATATGTTTGCATACTTGTTTGTTTCATACTGGGATCTTTAAAATGTTATGGTATTTTTGTATCTTACTAAATTTCTGTTCATTTCTGTGTATTTTGAAATACATAGGCTTTCTTTTAAACTTTTGTGCTTCTGACACATGTTGATCCTGCATGTTTATCTATAGGTTGGTGATTTAGATAGGCCACTTGTGTCAGATGATGTGGATCTAGCTCGAGAACAGGGCAATGACTTGACAAGAAATTACGATTTAGAGGGGGCTTGTTTTCAAAATGATTTGCGCCCACCTCGAACTCAAGGGCTTGTTCACAAACAGAGGCTTCCGGCTGTACTTCCTCATGTAACTCATGGTATTTTCATCCTTTACCTATTTTTCTTTTGCTCTTTAGTAGTTAGGCGTTAACTTTTCCTTCCTGTCTCATAATCAAATTTGAAGGTTCTAATGATGGAATATGGACTTTACATAGGTGATAGCTTGACTCTAGATGTGATTTCTGATGCATCAGAAGATGCTTTGATTGGTCAGACAATTAAGCATTCCTCACGAACAGACCACTTAGTTGAAGTGCAAAAGCATGTTAGGCAGGAAGTTCGAAATCACAGGTTGAAATTTGAAGTAAAAAATGATCAAGTTCCTGATTATTTGCCCAAGGTTATCCATGATCAGAGTAATTTCCTTGTTCTTTCACTTATACATAGTGGTTATATTTATTTTTGTCCTTTTCTTATCTGAATATGTAAAATATTTAATTATATATTCTGTTAGAAGTGCAGGAAGTTGCCTCTCCCTTGAGGTTGTGTCTGGTCCTTCTTGTGGACTCCGTTATTCTATACAGTCAACAAGTGCTTCCAAGCTTCCACTGACTCTTGGGAGAGTTTCTCCAAGTGACTTACTATTGAAAGATTCAGAGATTTCTGGAAAGCATGCCATGATAAATTGGAATTCAAATGTAAATTTCTTATGAGTTTACCATGTTAGTTTAGGTATCAAGTTGCATGCTGTATACACATTGTATCCTGAAAGCGAACTTACTCCATTGGTTTCAGAAATTGAAATGGGAGCTGGTAGATATGGGTAGCCTAAATGGAACATTTTTGAATTCTCAGCCGATCAATCACCCTGATTCTGGAAGAAGGCATTGGGGTGACCCAATGGAGCTTTCAAGCGGAGACATAATAACACTTGGCACAACTTCAAATATTCATGTAAGCTGATAAACTTTTCTATCTTCTGTACAGTTGCAGCTTAATTTCCTGCAGTATTTAAATCATATTGATAACTGCTGGAGTATGCCTAAAACCAGGTGAAACAATTTTCTTGTTTGGCATATCATCAACTTCTTTTTGATATGAAGGTCTTGCTTCTTGTTATTGCTTAATTTATTTAGGTTTTTTTTTTTTCTTCTGATAAATCTTTCTGTTAGGATTCTTATGTGAAAGAGAACTTCAGTTAGAATGTCTGTGTTATGTTCTTGGTCACCTTTTAGGTACTGTTCTGAAAGGGGGTATCAAATCAAACCACAAGACACTTCTGTTTTGACATTCTATATATTCAAAATGCTTTACTTTCCGTTATCTATTTATTTATTTTTTTTAGAGAAATCATTTTCTCATGGTTGTACTCAAAGAGTCCTACGACCAAAAAAATCCACATGGCGCCATCTCTGATCAGAAAAATATTTGTTGAAATAGTTGCTATCCTGTGGGTTAAAATTCTATTTGGTTAATGGTGCATTTAGGTAGAAGTTTTATTTTTCCACTGGAGTTTTATATTTTTAAGTGATTTCTATTATTTGTGCATTGCAGATATGATACTGTATGAACATATGCAGCTGGTTTTTAGTTTGTGATGTTTGATGTTGTTGGGCGTTTCGTTTACTGAATATATCCATTCTTTTCTTCTAATGCAGGTTCTTATTTCATCTCAAGATCAATGCCAGATGCCATTTGCAGTTGGTATGGCTTCAGATCCTATGGCTTTGCGTAGAGGAGGAAAGAAGCTTCCCATGGAAGATGTTTGCTATTATCAATGTCCCCTTCCTGGTGTCGATCAGGTTTCAAAGTTAATAGTTTGTGTTTCATTCTGGATACTTTTGTTCATCTTCCAGAAGTAATTGATTAACTACAAATGCCAACTTTTCAGTTTGGAGTGTTTGGCATCTGTGATGGCCATGGTGGTGCTGAAGCTGCCAAATCTGCTAGCAGGTTAGTATTCCTATTTCATGTTCAGTATGCTTTCTTGTCATTGCAATTATCTACTTTCATGTCTCTCAAAACTTTCTTGGTTGAGTTTTCTTAAACTTCTTGTTAATCTTGTGATGTCTAATTTTTTTTTTTTCAGAGTGTTGAGATATAAGATGTTGCAATAAAGCGACATGTTTTTCCCCTCACCTAAGCTTCTATTGGTTCTATTGTGTGCTGCTGCATTAATATGATAATTATTTTTTTCATTCTCATTTATACATTTACTTTAGCTTTACGTTTTTGATAGTTAATACTGTTGACTGCTATGCTGTATGTTCAAATTTTTGTAAGCAGTTGCATCTCAACTGCTAGAATTTTATCTGTGTTGGAGCATGGTACATTAAACTTTGTTTACAAGTTTCTCTTTTATTTTTATCTTCCTTTTATTAGAGATGCATATTTGAGTTTATAGAATAATGAATGGAAATCATCAGGAATGCTGGCTATTAACCTAATAATGGAAATTTTTAAAAACGGCTATCAAATTTTCAATGTATTTGCTGCTTGACTTGGAGGTATGCAAAAGGGTGGAATACATACAAATCTCTTCACCTCTTCTTCATGAAGAAGACGTAAAATTAACCAAAAAGAGCTTATCCTAATTGGCTTTCATTAACTATAACAAGGTCAAGGATTTAAACCTCTATAGTGCTAAGCAACTAAACAAAAAAATACATACAATTAAAGAAGCAGGAAGAATATCAATGCCATTGTGTGTAGGATAGGAGATTAAAGATGTTATAGGTATGTTTTAACTCATAAGCTTCTTTGCTTGTAGGTCCATTGTCTCTTTCTATTCATTCTCTCTTTTGGAAGATATCTTTTCTGCCTTGCTATGAGCCAACCTTTGGATGGAGTATTATGGCGATGTACTTGGCGTTTCCTTGTCAAACTTGTCGTTTAGATTCTGTTTATATGACCTCTGTGGTCGAGAAACATCTTCTTTTAATCATGTCACAGCTTGCATCCATGTGATCCTTTTAAAATTTGGCAAATATGAAGACCTTGAATTGCATTATTCTTGGATTAATTAGATGTATCATAAAGGCTTAGGTTACAGATTTGTGGTTTATGATCTGATAAAATGTACTCAAATACTATGCCTATCTTAGTTGATATGTTGGTTTTCCTTCCTTTTTTTTATCAGTTATGTTAATTTGATATGACTGCTGGACTAAAATTTCAACAATCTGATGTCCAGGATTCTGCCCGAGACAATTGCTACTATTTTGTCAGATTCTCAAAAAAGAGAGAGTGTTCTTTCACAATGTGATGCTTCTGATGTCCTTAAAGATGCATTTTCTCATACAGAGGCTCACATGAATCATTATTATGAGGTTTTGTTTTTATGTTTTTTTCTCAATTTTTTTTTTCTTGTTTCCTTTCTTTGCTTTTATGCATTTTTCATTATTTTATAGTTGGTTAACTTGTTGTCTGCTTGAAAACCTTTATTTATCTTAATGTCCTCTCTTGTGACATTTACTGTTTTCAAATAGCATTTTTGTAGACATGCTACCACTCTTTTGTATTGGAATCTAATCTTATACAACATGTCTGGAAACATCTATTTTTTGACCTTTGATTCATGCGTTGTTGGTCTTTTCATGTTGGTATAGCAATTTTCTATCATGTATTGATTGTCATCTCCTAAGTCCTATCTTAGAACATTTATCAGCACATTGCTCTGTAATTTGCATTTGACAGTGAAGGAAAATTTCTCACAACATGTATTGTAAAATAATTAACAGCTACTGGATATACTCTCCTCCTGACCCAAAAAATTGCAGGACAAGGATTCTCTCTTTTTTCAGAAAATTTTTTCTGCTGTTATCAAGTGTTATTGTTTTTTCATTTTGTAATGATTAGTTCCTTGCAGGGTTGTACAGCAACAGTGCTTCTTGTCTGGGCTGATGGTGATGACAGTTTCTTTGCTCAATGTGCAAATATTGGGGATTCAGCATGTGTTATAAAGTATGTATTTTGTGTTTGTTATTATTTCTATTAATAGGAGGTAATATATTTTATATCTGGAAGGCAAGAAGATTGACGAATGTTACAGCCATTTTTTATTGGAAATAGTCATTTTTAATATGAGTCAAATGATGAAGTTTATATTTAGAACACATTATTTTAATGTAGTATAGTAAGATAAGGTTACTTGAACCTGTTAATGCAGGAGGTGCTGTCAACCGTTGGGCTAATTATTCTAATGGAAGCAATCTCATTCTAAGTTTCATAACTTAATCTAGCCATAAAAGTCAACACTAAAGTGCTTATTGATAAGGGCCATTGTAGTGCAATTGTCTCTGTTGTCATTGTACAATGTATATAAATGATCCTTTTGTCTATTTGAAGTGAAATTTGTGATCTCATGCCTACCATGCAAGTAATAGAACAAATTTCTATGTTGCAGTGTTGATGGTCAACAGATTAAAATGACAGAAGACCATAGAATAACTAGTTATTCTGAAAGACTCCGAATTGAAGAAAGTGGAGAACCACTAAAAGATGGGGAAACCCGTCTATGTGGTAAGTGCAAAATTTGTCCATTCATTTGAATATTGTTGTTGTACACCCAAAACGAATTTGTAGTGGTGAATATTTACCATCAGTTATTCTTTTATCTCTTGTTCAGGTTTTAACCTTGCTAGGATGCTTGGAGATAAATTTGTGAAACAGCAAGATTCGCGCTTCAGTTCAGAACCTTACATAAGTCAAGCTGTGCATATCAATAAAACAAGTGGAGCCTTTGCACTATTAGCAAGGTGATTTCTCAATTTTTCAATGGACTGAAATACATGACTGTTATGGCTTATCACTAGTTCTTGTCATCAGAATACTGTATCCTCAGTTCTTGTTTTAGCTCGTTTTAGGTGATAGTTTGTACACACTTCATGCCATTTAAATAAGTTTTGTGAATAGTGAACTATCATAATGCTGTTTTCCTCGAATCATTCCCTCTTAAATTCCTAGATGTGTAGACTTTTGTAACACTTTGGAATGGTTTATGCATCAATTGCAGTGACGGCTTCTGGGATGTTGTTAGTGTCAAGAAAGCAGTTCAGTTAGTCGTGCAGGTAATACTTTATTACATAATTTTCAATTGATTGCTACTTTTCTCTTGGATATTGGTTTTTTCTCTTTCCCCAATGTAGTTTTAACAAGGTAACATTACTTTTGAGGTGCGCAGACGAGGGAGATATATCCTGCCGAGGAGAATTCTGCAGAGAAGATTGCTAATTTTTTGTTGAATGAGGCTAGAACACTGCGAACAAAGGATAACACCTCTATTATTTTCTTGGATTTTTACAGCTTATCTAGTAGCTCTTCCTGTAAAGTTGATAACTAATATGAATCTCAAGGTTTTAGTGTAAAGTTATGATTTATTTTTGTTCGTCCTAGTTTTTTCTTTTGAAGTTGTTCATTTGTCCACATTTTTTCC